ACTCAACGATATTCTGAAAACCACATCTTGCATTAATTTCTGACGCCATCAAAGATAAAAAAGAAATATTTTTAAACCTATTTATATCTTGAATATTTAAAAGCAAGACTTTCAAAATACTTAATAGATTTGAAGTCAGATCAAATTGTACTCAGACAGCTTAGTCGAATAGGTGGGGGCTTTAGTAGAAAGATAGTCGAACATTCGTTAAAATTCTTGCAGATGCCAATTGTGCTTGGACAGCTTAGTCGAATACTCGGGGGCTTTAGTCGAAAGGTAGTCAAGTATTTGTTAAAATTTGATTTTCCCTAGTAATTTTCACTCTTTGTCTTTCACAGACTGCCTGTACAATTTTCTTTTCAATAAAATAAGTTGATAGTCGGTATTATCGAACTCAGCCGAGTATTCGAATATTCGTTGACATGTCTATATTGAGGACTAATTATTCATTCATTATCCTTTATAATATAGACCTCTGCAAATGAACCCCTAAAGAAATCTTCAGAATTTAATTTTACTGATGAAATGTATATTTAAACATCTTGCACATATTTTACGACACACACAGTCCTATACATACCGAGACAGACACAGCCATCTTTAACATTATCTGGTCCTGCCGGTCCCTGGGGCCCAGGCTCTCCTTTACTTCCTTTCAGACCCCGCCCACCTGTCTCTCCAGGTGCCCCCTTCTCTCCTGGCGACCCTTTGGTTCCTTTCGGACCACGATTCCCTTGTTCTCCGGTTTCGCCCTTTTCCCCCTGTTTGGTTAGCATTGAAATATTCTACATTTAACACGTCAAATTAAAAAGTCATAAATACATAAAATAAAAAAACTAAATTTTCCATAATCATGATGAATACATGTAAACATGGTTATTGTAAATAACTTACTTTTACTCCAGATTCCCCTTTAGAACCTCTAAGCCCTTGATCTCCTTTGGCGCCCCGTGGACCAATGTCACCTTGAGTTCCTATAAATCCTTTCGGACCAATATCTCCCTTCATTCCTTGTTCGCCCTTACCCCCTGGGAGCCCCGGGTCGCCTTTATCGCCAGTTTTTCCCGGAAGTCCTGGATCACCAGGGATCCCCCTCTCCCCTTTGTCTCCTGACAATGAATTCAAAAAGTTAATGTCCTTTTTCTCACCGTGTTTGCTGATATTTACTCAGATTTGTCAGTATTAAACCTAAAATTTTCAGACTTTACAAGTCTCCTGAGGCTAATTTTGTTTGACTGGATAAACTCTTAACATTTAATGTAACAGTTATACCATCTGTCGATGGTGTGTTACAAATTATATTGTCTTGTTCTTGAAACAAATATGATAGTAAAATCAAATTTTAGGGGCTTTTGTATATTTCACTTTTCCGTAGGTGTCACAGGTGGTGAGGTATCACCTGTGACTCGAACCAAGGGCCTCTGCCGTAGCGTGCCAGCGCTCTAACTACGATCTACTACGACTAGATCTATTGACTAACTTTCACACACCTGTGGACTCGGTGACATATTAATTAATCGTGTTTATTAATACAGTTTGGTTGTGATATCTGTGGTATAAATTGAGTGACAGACTCACCTGTGTTACCCGGTAACCCTGGATCGCCTTGGTCCCCTAAAGATACAGATAGTAAACCTTCACTAACTCTTGTAATGCCTTTCACTCTGAAGGATATTATACGAAATAAATGTGTTCAGACAATATTTCTTCAATGTTTTCCAGAATAAAACATCCCGTTAATTGAAGATGACCATTAATTAAATGAATAAATTGACTGCTTACCTTTGATGCAGGTTTTATTTTTCTCGATGCAATGTTGGGCTATAACAGCCTCCTGCAAAGTTGAGCAAACTCTTGAGAAATGTTCAAAGGACACAGCATTAAAACCATTGTATATGTTGTTTTAATACATATATTTCTACTATCAGTAAAGGATTTCAGTGATGTCGTACCTGGGCAGTGAGAATGTCCGCTATGAAGTTTCCCGCCCTTTTTTGTTTATGCAGTTTCTTGTTGTCATAATCCAGCAGGGCCTGTAATCAGTAACTAGTTCTGTAATGTCTTCTCATAAGCAACTGCAGCAAGAGACATTTTAAACTAAGCAGTTAACATGTATACAAAATGTTAAATGAAATTTTTAAAAATACAAAAAATAAACATATATTAAAACACACTTAATTCTTTCATACATATAGGTTGTATCCCGTTTAAATCAATTATCAACTATGCACATCACCATATATGGTAACAGGAAAATCATTACATGACAAAAAGAAAACCAAGTAATTATTACTAGTAACAGTATATGAACGAAAATAGTTTTTGAAAATTATGCTGATCAATTTGATGGATTGGATTCAAACCATGTAGGTTTGTACCTGTAGGTGCTTGATTTTGCTGTCCAAGTCTTGGTCCTTTTCCTGGAGGATCTCTGTGTTGTCATACTGGTATAGAGTGACCACCGTAAACAGGGAGGTCTGGACCACAGTGATCAGTAACAGGACCCACAGCCAGGGAGAGGAATCGACTTTGTTCTCCATATCTTCTGTTGTCTTAGAACCTGTAGACTTTATCTGTAGAATTCTGACCTTAAGAACAAAGGCGCAAATGTGGAATAAGATAAGGATGTGAACAGTCTGTTGTGCTGTTCAGGATGTTTGTGCCAATTTCAAGTAAAATGAATTTATGTCAGAATTTCTGTTATCCCACATGTATGTCCAGTTTCAACAGAATAATATTTTTGAAAGGAAAATTCTTAAAGTTGAAGACATTTTGCTTTCATTTTCAAGACAAAATATTGCTATGATATTATGTCTTTCAGTAGAATTGTAAAAGTTGTACAATACATAATTATTTTATAATATGAATCAGTCCAAAACGTTCAATCCATTGAATTTCCGTTATATGTATATAATAAATATTGACCAGACCAATTGTAAAATTGTATAGGCATATCCTGATGTCCACTAGCCAATGGGATCACATTGAATTTAATGAAAGTCTGAAATTGAAAAAATTACATTCCTATCACACGCTTTTAAAATCATATCTTAATTTCCTTATTACTTGTGATATATCACAGTATATTATTGCCTTCTATTTTCAATTAAAATGGGTGGTATATTGACCTTTTAATTACTTTAACAAATTATTATTCAACAACTGCCTTCTCCCTTCAGTTTATTGTTGACCTTGTAGCTCCAGAACTTCTTTAAGCTATAGGCTGACATGTTTGGTTTTCCTACACAGCGAACTGCCTTAAATGTTTCAGGAAATGTTCTATTAAAAGGACGTTATGTCAATCTATACACATTCAAATGTGTGATCTGCATATATTTGCATGATGAAAATCTATCATTACACTAATTATAAGCCATGATTGATAGAAATAGATACAAATCATGGTACCTATCATTCAAAATAGGAATAAATTTGTGGTTTTATTTGAGCTTACATTTTTGAAATCAATTTTCTTACACGAATTTGTTTTTTTTTTCCTTTGTAACCAATAGCTTTTGTTAATTTCTGTTTAGTTCCTTTCTTAATGATAATATTTGGACATTAAGTTTTAATTATTTAACAAGTATGGTACATGTATACTGTTTTAATTCAATCCTATACATGAATAAAATATTTTGTAGATTCTACAAGTGTATTTTACATTCCTTTACGAACACAAAATTGATAGTGCGACGAATATACTTTATCAAAGACTATCAATTACAGACTGAATTTAAGAAAAGATAATATAAAACCAATAATTTTAAAATGTTGTTTATATATTTCACAAAAATGTACATCTGCCAACAGTATCTAAACTTGTGCAAAAAAACAACTAATTGGATATAAATTAATCGATTTTTTAATAACGAAATGAAATTTTGAAAATTGGACTTGTTGTTTTTTCATTTAATAATATTTTTTAGCTGTGTGACATCGACTTTTAACTGATATGTATTTGAAAATAGTGATGATACAGTGGTCCATCTCAAACAAAAACTACAAACAATACAAAAGTGTCAAAATTCAACTCCAAAACATTTACAAGAACACTATACATGTTTAGAGTAATTAAAAACAGTACATCATATTGAGGTAGTGCTATATCACAGATCTGCTTCGTCGTTCAGAGAATAGATCGTTCAGTTTTTGGATGCCAGAGATAGGGTCTTTAGAGCGCTCTCGATCATTTTTAGATGTTTCCCATTGTCGGAGTTCTTTAGCTTTAGGAACATGTCTCTTAACTTTTTCAGGCCTTTCTCGTGTACCCTGCTTTCCAGAACTTCCCACTGGTTTTCTTGTTTCATGTCTTCTTTTGCAGATTCGATGATGCCATTTTCTGCAGAATCATTGATTGAAGAATGAAAGATGCTCAAAGAATTCCTTTAAAAATAAATATTTTTTTAAAAATTATGTTGATATTATTATTACTTACCATGGCGTTTAAATCTTCTTCCTGACGAAAAATCCCAAAAAGTCAGTAAAACAAAGAAAGCGAGAAAAATCGCAGAGGATCTTATGGCCATGTCTTTAGTTACGAGAGATTCTTACAAAGTGTTCATAGATTGACGTGAATGCCTAAATATAAACATTCACCTTATAATTCAGAGTTAATTAATTCGAGACGCATGTAGGAAATGTTTGCGCATAAATCATTTTTGTCTTTTTATGGTGTCAAAAGCGTTTAATGAAGACTTGTCAAATTAAAAAAAAAATCTTTAGAAACAAGATTAGTGTACATGTCTGTGCACGTTGTAATTTGTAAAGGAAAACATACCCACCACCACCCCGTTCAACTGTCAGGCGCGGATCGATCCAGGATTTTTTTTCCAGGGGTGATCCACACTAGTTAAAAAAAAACATCCAACGCAGAAGGATCATTCTCCATAAGGCCGTTTTAGGGCCTACAATGTCTTCAAATTTTCAGATAGTAAATATTCCCATAAAAATTGCATGAATCAGTAGACGTATGTTCCAATTTAGAGATAAATATTGGTTAGTTAATGATACAATAGTATTTGTTATGATATAGGGTCACAAATTAAGGTACTATCGGTCCGTACTAGCATTAGAGTAATGGGAAAACTCAAGAGGGTGACTGTGTTAATTAACTACTACGCATGTCACAACCACCTTTGACCAACACCAAAATATGGATGTAAACTTCTTATTAGTATAAAAAGTGACTATCAAAATTATGAACTTGATTAAAGGTGGTTATGACATGTAAATACCAGAGGCCCATGGGCCACATCGCTCACCTGAGCACTAAGGGTTGGAAAAAGTAGAAAATGGCTTTTTATTGTAAAGTTTAAATCCAAAAGTAGTCCCATGACCAATCATGGATTTGCTATTTTTTAGAAAATGATTTTTAAAGAATTTTCCTATATATATCTTTAAAAACTTTAGTCGGCCATTTTGGCCCCACCCTACCCCTGGGGGTCATGATTTGAACAAATTTGAATCTACACTACTTGAGCATGCTTCCATATAAATATGATGAATTATGGCTTTGTCATTCTTGAGAAGAAAATTTTTAAAGAATTTTCCTATATATATCTATGTAAAACTTTGGTCGGCCATTTTGGCCCCGCCCTACCCCCGGGGGTCATGATTTGAACAAACTTGAATCTACACTACCTGAGGATGTTTCCCCATAAGTTTCATCTTTCCTGGCACAGTGGTTCTTGAGAAGAAGATTTTTAAGATATGCCACCAAATTTTCATTAATTCCCAATTATCTCCCCTTGAATGTGGGCGTGGCCCTTCATTTGAACAAACTTGAATCCCCTTCACCCAAGGATACTTTGTGGCAAGTTTGGTTGAAATTGGCCCAGCGGTTCTTGAGAAGAAGTCGAAAATGTGAAAAGTTTACAGACAGACAGAGAGACGGACAGACGGACGCCGGACAAAATGTGATCAGAAAAGCTCACTTGAGCCTTCGGCTCAGGTGAGCTAAAAAACGTTTCGCTTCATTTTTACGATATTTGCAGGAAAAGTTAACTACTCACAATGAAGGATATCAGCTTATGCTGGTTATTTCTTTTTATGAACATTTTGATTAGTGTATAATTTTCTGTAGATTTACTACGAATTAGTAAAAGCCATGAACGTTTACTCAAAAAATGTCAATTTTTTAATTTAAAAAATCTAAAAATCAAAAGACTGGAGGTTAAGAAATTACACGTGAAGAAGTCTCGTTGAAATGTCTGCTAACAATTAAGAAAAAAAACTTTATTATTTTGCGAAAAGGCGTGAATATAAGTTTTTTTTATGATACTTATTAATATTTATAAGGATAGTTTACTAGTAGTTAATGTACATATGTCAGGCACGTAGCAACAGGGGGGGGGCAGGGGGGGGGGCATGCCCCCCCCCCCCCCCACTTTTTTCCCCAACATTACCTTTACTATAGAAAATGTCCATTGAGAAGATGGTTGCCCCCCCCCCACTTTTTACCACAGTATATTCATAGCAAGGAAAGATAGAAAAAAATTGGAAGTTGGCCCCGAAAAAAAGTTGGCCACTACCCCCCCCCCCCCCCCCCCCCCCCCCCCCCCCCCCCCCCCCCCCCCCCCCCCACGAAATAGGATTTTCGAGTTTGGGCAATTTTTTTTTTTTTGTTTTTTGTGTTTTTTTTTTTTTTTTTGCTTGTCAACTTTTTTTAGGTAAGTAAAATAAATTTTCTCAGGTCGGCCCCCCACTTTCAAAAACGATGCTACGTGCCTGTATGTTACTTCTTTGTTTTTACTTATGAGTACTGCATATATTCTTTGTATTTCGTTATGATTACTACATACTACGTACCTGGTTAATGTTCTAGAAATGATAAAAGCTATATTTGCTGAAGCGGGAAAATGCATTCCCTATTTTCTACGGGTACACACGTAACTTTTATAGATAGGGAACTACTGATAGGATCCATATACAGGAAATTTGTTAACTGGGTCTTAATTGAAAGTACTCAATCTATTCATCACTTTTTTGATAGCATAGATATACGTTTCCAGAACAGCAGTCTTGTCTTAGAAATAGAATGGTAAGGAGGAGAGGGGTTCCTAAATGTCATATGTGATTGATAATTGAATGTTGCTTTAATCCACTTTAAGATATTTCAACCAGAAAAAGAGATCATCCACTTAAGGTCAAGTGTCACAATTTTGATTTATGCATAGTTGCATTACCGCGGGACGGGGACCTCTCTTTTTAGAAAAAAAAAAAAGATATCCAAACGACCCATGTCATTTACTTTTATGCTTAAGACTTAGGATAGGAATTGTCAATACCATGTCAAATACCGTACTTTTTGATGCTGCAGTGGGAAAGAGACTGAATTTTACCTTCAGGTTTCAGGAGTGCGAAAAAAGCATCAAACCCCTTTGCGCCGATTTTGTACCTGGGATATGTAGAACTCTGTTAGTCTATAGATACACTAAAACTTCTGATATGGATAGTGGAAGGAACTGTTAAAAAAACTAATTTATTTTTATGCAGTGCCGTTAGAAACGTAGGTGGGGTGTTTCTCAACTTTTATGCATGTGTGTACATATAGTTTAAATGGCATTTTTAATTGAATATATCATGTAATATGAGTAATCGTAGGTACCACATTAATAGAAATAATATACAATGACAATATATGATGTAATACATTTAATTAATTACTAATTAAACCTTTTTTTTTTAGCATTATACGGTGTGCATTTTGTAAAAAATTACATTCAAAATATGCAAAATGTGGATTCATCAAATTTCATGTCATAAAAAAATATAAAAAAATCTTCGAATTTATTACTTAGGTCTGATGTGTTTCCGACATAAATAAACAATTTTTGATCATTTGCATTCAGAAACATGCATAGAAACTTAATGTGTATAGACCTACCCTTATTTTTTCTTAAACTGACGGCTATTTGTGATCTCTGAATCACGTGACCTAGGTGATCAATATCAAAATCATTAAGTAGAATGATTATAGTTATATAAAATCACATTTTAAAGTGATTTTATCGTAGACCGGGAAATGGCCTTATAGAGAATCAACCTTTGTTGACAAGTTAAAAAAAAAAAAAAAAAAAAAAAAAAACCTAAACTTGCCCAAACGTGAAAATACTATTTCCTGAAGGGTGGGGGTGGGGGTAGTGGTTAATTTTTGACTTCTAATGCTTTATACCTATTACTTTTCATACCAGCGTTTTCGAAGGGGGTCTCCGTTTTCTACGGGAGGGGGGGGGGGGGTCCAAGGTAACTTTTTACTGATAAACCGATAAACACCATCAGCTTTTTGGTTCCAAGACTGTAAAAGACCGCTGACTGATTTACGAGGGGTGATCAAAAAGTTCGCGAACTAATTGAATAACTTCCATAAAAAAACAATATTTGGTTTCAGTGTTGATTATATTTTAAATTGGTCCTCTCCGATATTAATGCACATCAGCCACCGTTCTGCGCATGTGCAAATCACGTGATATTAGTGGTCACGTGACCCCCTCCGTAGCGTTCTGTCACAAAAGCTGAAAGATTTTTCTGAGTGTTATATTTCTTTCCATGTAAGTTAATTTTTATAACAAGAACAGTCCATTTGTCAGAAATGGTCAACTCTCGGCAACAGAATGGGCAGATAAGAATATCCTTTCCAAAAATAAGCACGGCGACTATTAAAACAAAAATCTTCTGTCTCGTGAGAGACGTTTTTTTCAAGGTGGATAAAGAATGATTGCCTCCTTTTTATCACATCTAATATGTTTAAAATATAAAGTAAACGATATACCTTAGGTATATAACAATTATAATATTGTTCAAATATTCAACTATTTTTTCAAAGTGTTAATTGGAGGTCTTTGATAGCAAATTGTTTAATTAAAAACCATGTCTTTTCAAACTTGCTTTCACTGAGCAACATGACATATATCATTTTTGTCCCCCGCTTTCGCGAAAGCGAGGGGACATTAAATCTCATTCGTCTGTCTGTCTGTCCGTCTGTCCGTCAGTCTGTCCGTCACAAAAACTTTAACCTTGCCCATAACTTTTGATTTAGTGGAGCTATGACTTTCATATTTCACATGGGTATTCCTTGTGACAAGACCTTTCTTTGGGTACCACCAAATTTGACCTTTTGACCTTGACCTTGGAGTTTGACCCACTTTTACACAAAAATTCCAAACTTTTACTTTGGCCATAACTTTTGAATAGTAGGTACTAGGACTTTCATATTTCACATATATATTGTTTGTGGCAAGACCTTTCATTGGATAACAACAACCTTGACCTTTTGACCTTGATTTTGGAGATTTACATACTTATGAAAAAACTTTAACCTTGACCATAACTTTTGAACGGTGAGGACGAAGGCTTTCGTACTTCACATATGTAATCCTTGTGAGAAGACCTTTCATTGGATACCAATAACTTTTGCCCTTTGACCTTGACCTTGGAGTTTTAATTACATTTTAAAAACTTTAACCTTGGTTACAACTTTTAAACAGTAGATACTAGGACTTTAATACTTCACATATGCATTCCTTGT